ACAGGCCATTGGAGAGGGTTCTGGTGCTAATTTCTGTTTTAATCTGTCCGAAATTGATAGAGTGTTTTCTAAGATAGTGCTTGCCTTGAAGCTACTGTGGAGTGTGGAGTGTGAACGTGTGAAATCTAGCATAGGGATACAATTCTGCATGGCAGTTCTGACCCTCATTTCAACAAAGCCATTACCATTAATTCATTCATTCTAAGGAAATCACATAGCTCAATGTGAGTATTAATGTTTCATTATAGAGAGAGATATCTTTTTAAAGCAATGAAAACTGAAATTTACAGAGAGATTATTGTAATAGATCTAAAAAAGCCCTAACGCTGTATATTGAGATTTGCCTCAAGATCTTTACCATGCTGTCTAGGATGCTGGAATCCCAGGGGAGGATGAGGACTGAGCATATATTTGGCGGGTAAGGATTTGAAGATATTAATTCTTTATTTGAAAATAGATATTGTAAATCCCTGAGAAATATTGTAAGACACAGCAACGTAGCTAACAACAGAAGTCACAGCAAAATCTAATTTAACTTCCTAATGTTGGAATGGTATATATCCACAATTTTTGCCAGCAAAATAATATTAGGGCACACTGGGTAAAAAAAGGAAGACCAGAACTGGTAAACATCTGCCTTGCTTGTGAATGGCCAGGCACAAACACATGAAAGAACAACAAGTCTACACACTGCACAAACATGCAACAGGCCAAAACTATGGTTGAGATATTGGTGGTAGATGATTCATGTGGTTAAGCCCAAATAGCCAAGATGAAGACCCTAACATATCAACTGGACCTCACAAACATGATAAACAAGCCATCGGTGGCAACCAGAAATTTAATTCTGCTGACCCTCCATAATTAGTTTGTGAGCACACACACAGCAGTCAGAAATTATGGACATGTTGCACTGCTAAGCCCAGCTTACTTTTCTCTCCAACTGGGCTAAGCTTTCTTAGCCACATTGTATATGAGTGGAGTGAATTTGGAAGAGCTTTTCCGTGGTCCTAATACAGGACAGAATTGGCCAGGGTAAGGAACTTCAGGTTCTAACAACTGAGCAGTGATTCTCTAGCTCAGTCTTGCAGCTGGGGCTTCACACATGTGGCCGTGCTAAGGTACTCAAAACAGCTATTCAGTACAGAGAATGGGATTTAGTCCTCCTTCCTTACATTCCACTTCCCAATGAACAGTCCTGTTCTAAGTTATTAACCAAGGTTATGAATATACTGCACAGACCGCTGTATACATTCAAGTTTGGATCTTTCTCAAAAGGGCCATTCTGTAGACTACGGCACTTTATATGGCTCATTTGTTGTGCATATAACCTACATAGCATCCCTCAAGTTTTCTGGTGTTAAGGGATGTTGTAAATCAGAACTCCATACTTTATACCTTGGTTAATGTGATATCTCCACTGTCCCTGGGGCAATGCATTCAATGCTATTGCGTTTTAATTTCTGACAGGATAAGGGATTTTCACAAACAACCTACTGACCTCTCTGACTGTTAATAAAGATTTACAGAATATTCAGGGTTTTTCCTGTGTTCATTTTATGTCTTTGGAAAATGCCAGCTTCCCCACCCTACATCACCACCCAGGAAAAAAAATAGCAATAAAAAGGGAGGAGGATAGTAGCACTGATAAACTGTCACTCACTCCACACACAAATCTTTTGAGGGAATGGACTCCCCCTCTCTTGTTCTGCAGCCCTTGTCAAGTCAATTTCAGATTCACATTTTTTAAAAGGTGCACATAATAGCCTGGCTATTTCTTTCCTTCCCACTTCACAGCTGGACTACCTCATTATTGTTTCCATTTCATTAACAGCAGGTAGGGACATTATATTACTGTTACTGAAAAGGGGCAGGCGGGACTATGTGCAAACAGCAAAACCTGGTCAAAATATACATGGACTGACTGGGACCCGTTTCATGTTTTTTCTGGACAATGGAGTTTTAAGACTTTGCCTCAGTCACTTCAAAGTCCTTTCCCAGAAACCAGACAATTAAGTGGGCAAAACTAAATTGTACTTGTTGTGTTAGGACTGGAAGACCGCACAGAAATGCTCTGAATCTTTAGATAATCCTCCTTCTTTGATAACCTTTAAATTTTATACCCATATATATTCCACTCTTAGAATCAACTCAGGAGATATATTACACAATGGAAACATGTCACATCTGAAAAACAATGTATCTGCTTAGAGGTTTGATTTATAGAAGACCCATTCTGAGGAAGAGGCAGGTAACATTTTTGCCTAAGTACTGGTAACAGCCCCCCCCCCCCAATGCCTACCTATGAATATGCTGCTGCTGGAAAGTAGGGAGGGGCGGGAAGACCTGGCTTGTACTTAGTCAGGAGTACTGAGAGAAAGCTGAGTCCCAGGAGTGATGTCAGTGCCTCAGGGGCTTGCCTTGGACCTGGATGGCAACTGTACAGGTCTGGAAAGTGATGACAGACATAGATCATGCCTGTCTGCTTCCCTGCTACCACCCCCACCGTTGCTGCCGGTGCTCGTTGGCTCACCTTGGATGCTTGGTCCCTGCATGCTGAGCAAAGAGGTCTTGCATGCTGGGGGTCTGCCTAACTCTGGGATAGATTGTCACAGGTCAGCCCTCCTCCAGTCTCCAAAAGAGAATGGTAGCCTGTTAGCAGTGTGGTTAGCAGTGTGGTGTCATGGTTAAGAGTGTCGGACTAGTATCTAGGAGGCCCACATCTGAACCCCCATTCCTGCCATAGAAGCTCACTGGGTGATCTTGGACCAGTCACACTCTCTCAGTCTAACCTACCTCACAGGGTTGTTGTGAAGATAAAATGGGGAGAGAATGATGTAAGCTACTTTGGCTCCCCATTGTGCAGAAAGGTGGGGGTATAAATAGATCAAAAATAAAATAAATCTCTTTGTTACCTCTTGGATGGCAACAGGGGCAACTGATACTCCTTTTCAGGGAATTAGGAACTGTGGTTTCCAGTTGCTGATTACATAGAATAGAATAATAGAGTCATACATACCATCTAGTCCAACCCCCTGCCCAATGCAGGACCAGCCTAAAGCATCTCTGACAAATATTTGTGCAGCCTCTTCTTGAAAGATATTTGTTTACTCCTGGTATGGTTTGTCAACCAAGTCCAAAATTTCAATGGAAGGGAAATGTATTTGAATGTTTCTCAGAATTCTTTTTTGCATTTATATAGTTAAAAGAGGTTCTGGGGTGAGGATGTGCTTCCATTTCTGCTGCAAAATGCACCTCATATCCCATTATACTAGCAGAATGGCACTCAAATGAGTTGCCATCTTAAAACTGGATACAGCCTGCCTAAAAGATCCATATGAAAAGGGGAATGATCTCCTCTTTCAATATTCTTATAGTAAACAAGCTAAACAGTATGTCTCCTTAATCTCATCAGAGACATTAACCTGAAGTAATTTCCCTCTACTTAGACTAATTTATTGTTGCTTTGCTGAAGAATGAGCAAAACACTTCCTGACATAGAAATAAATCATGAAATCCTAGTCCTTTTCTAACAGGACTGCAAGCTTCCATTGGTTTAATCAGTAAATTAATCAGCTAAAGCTTTAGTTTATTAATCGCTGGGGATCAATTTTAATATGGGACGTGCAAGTTCTGTTTTGTAGATGCTCTTTTATTGCTGATGTGATACCATAATAAGAAATGAAGGAAGAAAAGTATTAAAGGCATCCTTTCCCTTTTAACAATTCATGATGTTTATTGGGTACTATAGTGTAATTTGTTTTATGCTACCTCTATCATCACAAAAAGTCAACTATGCTGATGTAATATGCACATTCATTAAATGTGATTGATTATTTGCTTGAAAGACAGGAAAGTGTAGCTTATCTTGTAAGGCTGGGGAGAGTCTACTTTCAAATAAAGGTTTGCTTGGTTCTCTTCCAAATCCTGGATGCCAGGCATAGCGCAGACACAATTCTTGAAAAGTTCTTGATGTTGACCAACTCATTGAGGTAAAGCTTAGTATTACATGCTGAGCACCCTATAAACCCTGCCCCCTGCCAAGTAAGTGTAGGCAGGGCTGGGACAGCTGTAGTACCAGCTACATGGGCAAGGTGCTCTTTCAGACAGCATGCTGTTTCAGAAGTTTTTTTGGGGGTATCTCTGTGTGTGTGTGCCTGGAAGTCATGGCTGACTTCTGGCAACCCCTAGTGGGGCTTGGACATTTCAGAGAGGTGGCTTGCTATTGCCTGCCTCTGCATCCTGAGCCCTGGTATTCCTTGGAGGTCTCCCATTCAAGCCAGGATCAGCTTCTAAGGTCTGATGAGATTGGGCCTGCCTGGGCTATCCAGATCAGGGCTTTCAGAGCATTGTTTTTTTTTAAATGAAGGATGGGATCTTATTTTGCACAGATGTTTTAAGTTGTTGTTGTTCTGAGGGGTTCCTTTTATTTGTACTGGGAAGAAAGGGGCTATAGTGTTACCATCAAGCAGTTATCCTTCCAAATCCACAAACAAGAGCAGCCAAGGTCTAGTCCTATTTTTAAAAATATTCTCACACTTTCTGTGATAGACACTTGATAGGAGATTGCAGTGACACTGTGGAGCTCCTTTACTCTTGAAGCTCAAATGTTATGTCCCCTATTAAGGTACAAAAAGATGGCTAATGCCTTGTTGTTTCAGCAGACTTTTAATCTGTACATTGATGTTGCTCTCTATTTGAGAGAACATTTTTTTTACATTGAAATGATTAATTTAAATGGATTTTTAATTGAACTTTGGTTATTTGATGTTTAATTCATGATTATTTGTTTTTGGAAGCCATTTTGGAGGACTCAGCATCCAAAAAGTAGGCTCAAAACATTTCAACTAATCAATAAATATACAAATATTATACATGCTATATTTCAAGGCAAGACAAAATAATGAATTCTTAAATTGTAAATATCTTCCGACAACTAGCCAAACTTGTTAGATCTGAATATGTATTGGAGAAGTTTACAGAATGAACACATTCATTACCCTATCAGTTGATCCTTGCTTTGTTCCACAAGGGTAGGAGGAACATTTGAGACAATGACCTGCATATCCAACTGGTTGACGACAGAGACCTGGAAACAGAAAAAGCAAAATCTGCTTCAGCCTTCAACATGTACATTATCCCAGAATAAGAACTACAGTGCTTTGATCTTCTATGAAGTTCTCAAATCCCCGGTGCCAGTTGTTGGAATGCACCGTGCATAGACAACAAGGACATGGGTGAAGTAACAGCTACAATGGCTTTCTCATTAAAACCATAGTGCAATCTGAAGCAGACTGGTACCCTTCTAAGTCCATTGGCTTCAATGAAATTAGTTGAGCATCACACTGCTTAAGATTGTACAGATGCTGGCCAACCAGCATTTGTTTCTGTAATACAGCCCCCCTTTCCTATGGTAGCCTTTTGAAGCCCCCCAACAGCCACTCCTGAAGGTCAGGGAGTAGCATTCAGTATGGTGCCTCATCATTCACACAAAGGAGTCCCATATATCTGACATACTTGGACCAAGGTATGTGTGCATTCGTGTGTGAATTAAAAAAAGAACCCCAAATAACAAAACGTATCCTAAATCAGCCAATTGTTAACAAAGAAATAAATCATTTAAACCAACAGAGGAAACTTTTACTATGCAAATGTTACAGTACTGTCTCCACTTCTAATTATTATCTATTTTTCATTTCCTTACATATTTTTTTCTTCGCTGTTGTTCAGAATGTCCCTTGAATAAAACAGAAGCATATCTGGACATGATTCAGTCAAAAGTAAACCCTTTTAATATCCCTTTATTTCAGTACAATCCTTATTTCTGAGTTCAATTAAAACTATATATTTTAATTTACTTTAAAACATACCAAATGCTATTTACAACAATCAGAAGTGCAGAGTAAGGGACAGATGCTGTGTAGTAGCAGGAGAAGGTAGAAGGAGAAAGGAAGGTTGAAATGCGTCCATACAGCATGCAGTATTAAGAACTCTTAGGAATCTGCTGACTACCTTGGATCTTGCTTCAGGAAATAAATTAACACCTTGTTCCTGATAAACCATAACCAAATTATTCACATGCCAATATCTAGATACTGTGAAATTTTCTAATCATACTTATTTGATACAAATGAGGAGAAATGTACATAGGCCCCTGCCACACGGGCAGGAAACTGCAGAGGAGAAGTGTGGCTGTTTGCCCCGGGGCAAACTAACATGCAGTAAAGCGATCAGACCTACTGTGGAGGTTCTGTGGAGGTACTGTGGAGGTTCCATGGCAAGGGAGAGGTGCCGATCACAACACACGCCTGCGCGCAATGAAGAAGCGCGCGGCGCGGCGAACTGGTTTTCTTTTTTTGTGTACACTACGAATGCGCATGCTCCGTTGGGTGCGTGTGCGCATCCACGGAGACGTGGGGGGAAAAAAAAACCTTTTCCGCAAGGGGACATGGGCGGGCGCCGGATACCACCGGAAACGCGATCAGACGCCCGCCCTTGCCCCGCAGTTTCTGGAAACTAGTACCTCCAAGGTACTAGTTTTTTGCTGCGCTTTTTCGGCAGGAAGCCTCAGTTGTGCCACGGAAGCGCTACGCTTCCCAGATGTGCTGGTGAGATCGCGACCGGAAACTCCGCTTGTCTTCCGTATCTCTTGCGTGGCTAATGTTGCGTGTGACCGCAGCCTTAGACTTGTATTACGATATACTGGCTTTAATTTAAATGCACAGTTTCCAATGCCCACATGGAATTCTGTCAGCACCGTGCCCCATTATCTTGTACTTTCTCTGGCAAACATTCTGTACACCCACAGTGCCTGTGCCTGGACCCCTACAGACTTCACAGAAGTGAAGGTGACAGGCTCCGTGTGTAGATATCAGAGTGCAGTAAAGCACTGGGTTGTGAACTATGTTGTAAACAACACTGAGTGCAAGGTGGAGGTGCTGGGAATTAAGCAGCTCCACATTTCTACAAAGTTTCAACCAAAACCCATCATCATATGGAATAGAACAAATAAAATAAAATGAAAATAGCAAAGTACCAATGCCAATTATTAATGACCATATTGCTGCCAACTTGGAGTGCACAAAAGCTTTGATAGTCTGTATCTCATTAGCCTCAAACCTATGGAGGACTTTTGCCTAAGCCGGGATTTGACTGTGGGTCTTTCACATCCAAAACACCAATCTGGTGATTGCCCCACACTGATCCCTAATCAGGCGGCTTGCACGAAACATTCTTCTCAGCCCAAAGTGATTAAGCAAGTGCCTACGGCAGTATGACCCACAATGCTGAATGCCCAGAGATCTACAAATGTTGGCAGCGCTCACTACTAGTCATTATGTACAGTGGATACCAATTTTTTTTCTTCTCTGACTCCTCCAGCAGCTGCAGAAAACTTGGTGGAGTAGCAGGGATGGGAAGCAATGCTCCCTGTGCTCTGGAACAAAGAGAAGCAGCACAAGAGACAATCACTGCTGCTCTCTTCTGCAAAGCCCATAATGATTGGAGATTATATGAGAGTACACAATATCGCACTTTATGGAAGGCAGTGTACTTGTTCCTTCCTCAAGATGATCTGAAATTAGGAACTCTAGTCTGGATAGATGTCAATGCATGTCTTTACATCCTCCTTATGCACTATTCAATTCCAAGTGTGTGTGTGTGGGGGGGGGGGAAGAGCTTTACTCCAAGGCTGGATCCCATTTGCCAGTAAAATGGAGATGACTGATGCAAGGTCTGTTGGGGTTGACTCAACCAGGGCTATAGCACACAGAAGCACTTTAGCCAAAGTGATTGCCCTGACACTCTGACTGGGCTTTCTGTTCTTGCTCGGCCTGCAGAACTGCCTTTGAAATCCCCAGAGAAAATCAACTGGTACATGTTTTCTGTAGGATCAGAGGGACCTTGCCTCTCCCACTTCATGCAGAGCACCTGCCTCCAATTAGGCTGCACAGCAAAAAGAGAAATGGCATGAGACATTCTCCCCAAAGTCCCCTAAACACATAACAGAGAAATTGGGGAGAGAGAGATCTCATTAGGATTGCCAAGTCCTCCCTAGCCAGCAGCAGAGGGTTGGTGTGGGGTGGGGGTATGGTTGCCAACTTCATGTCGGGAAACTCCTGGAGATTTGGGGTGGAGCCTGGGGAGGACAGGGGCCTCAGTTTGGCACAATGCCATAGAGTCCACCCTCCAAGGCATCCATTTTCTCCAGGGGAACTGATCTCTGTAGTCTAGAGATGAGCTGTAATTCCAGGGAAACCCCAGGTCCCTCCTGGAGGCTGGCATCCCTAGGTGTCATATAGGAGGCAGTGGCTTCTGATACTTCCAGAGCTCAGAGTGACATGAGAACACTCCTGAATTTTCTGCAATTCACAGAGAACTCAGGGCAGGGAGGCTTATACAAGGCAGTGGTTCATCAGTGGGCCTACCACTCAGTAGATTTATGGCATCTTAAGAATGCAGCTTCACAGCCAGATGTTGTGAACTTCCAGGGCATGATATACACGATGTTTGCAGCCCCAGACAGGAATACATGTGGGCCAGTATCCTTGGTTCCTTTAACAAATTATAATCTACACAGGTCTAGCCTAGAATGACTGCATCAGCAATTCCATCTAATGCATTCAGTTACTGTGAGAAGCACCACATGAAGCACTAGTTTCCCAAAGAAGCACCCCTCACCCTCATATCCTTGCAACGAAGTAAGTTCAAAACGTACTTTTTCATTTGTACTTACCAGCACATCTGATTTGTTGCTCAGCCCTTTACCATAGTTATCAGTTGCAATGACCTGAAACTTGAAATAAGACCGCCTCATGTTTTTGAAGAGCATGGCTGTCTTGATGATCCCCGTGTAGGGCTCAATCACAAAGCCCTCCTTGCCATCCTTGATTGGTGGGATGATGAGCCTGTACTGCATAGCACTGAAGTTGCCAGTGTCTTTATCAGTAGCCTGATGGGTGAAACAAAACAAAAAAATGAGAGGAAAAATTGATACCAAGAAGATTTCACCTTGAATTTTTAATCAAGTTAAAAAAGAATTTGTAGACATTGCCCCCTCAGTTAGAATGAAGAGACGGACACCAGTATGGATTTAACAAGGGCCACTTTATTAATTAATTTATAAACAAAGAACTGGCGAGGGGTTGCCAGAATGTACTGAGGAATATGACAGGTGTCAAACTCCTGACCACCTGCCCCGATCTCAAGCCACCAGTGGCTTGGCCTATTCAAGAGAACCCCTGGCCCACCACCCCAGAAGCCGCAAAGGCCTGCTAAGGTAGGCTGGTCCAGATTGCTCCAAGGAAGATCACCTCTTCCTGGCCTTGAGCCACAAAGGCCTGAAAGCCGTTCCTGGAAGACCCTTTAATTCCTTTATAACAATGCCCAGGTGCTCACCAGTTCACATATGATCGCATTACCCCGCCAACACAAAGTGACCATCCAACTTAACAAACACGGCCCCCCAAAGCCAATTTTCCAACAGTGCAAGGTAGGCAAAAACACCCCTCTCCAAAGGCCAAACTGAATGAGAGGTGAAAAATTCCTACCTGGCCCCAGGTATGAACCTGCACTAAAATAGGTTGGGAGGGTGGGCCGAGCACACAAGAGAACTGCTGAGACAGAGGGCGGGAGCCAAGCCTAAATAGGCTGGCTCCACCCCCTGCCCGGCACTGCGCTTCTCGCAGCACTGGCATCCTTCTCGTCCTGCCTCGCAAGTAGCCAATTCAGCCCCCTCCCGCCAGCACGAGCTCGGCTTGAGTTTAGGATCGCATTATGGTCAGTAAATTCCCCTGAAGACTGCATTTGTAACTTAAGAAATTAATTTTAGTGGTGGAATATTTTACAAAGGAAAGTAGAACGTCAAAGAATTAAGTAGAAAACACTGCATAGGTATACGATGTCAATTTTGATTAAAACCTACCTTAAAAGCATATGGTTTAAAATGGAGAAGCAACAAAAACACTGAGCGCATTCAGCAAGCTTCCCTTGAGGCATGACCCAGCCAATTAAGTTTTGTTAAGTCTCATTGATTTCAATGGAGGAGTTAAGTATGTGTTTAAATCCCTCCCATTGAAACTAATGGGGCATCAAAGTACTATGCTTTGGCTAAAGGATGCTCAGGGCTATTATGAAGGTTCTCCCCCCTCCCCCATATGTTTAGAAATGTTTTTGTTACCTACAGTTTACATAGGTTTATTTTTAATAGCTTATATTACACATTGTGTGTGTGTGTTTAAGTGCCATCAAGTCACTTCTGATTTATGGCAACCCTATGAATTAATGACCTTTAAAATGTCCTATTATTAATAGCCTTGCTCGGGTCTTGCGAACTGAGGGCCCTTGTGGCTTCCTTTATTGAGACAATCCATTTCATGTTCAGTCTTCCTCTTTTCCTGCTGCCTTCAACTTTTCCTAGTATTATTGTCTTTTCCACTGAGTTTTCTTTTCCTAATGTGACTGAAGTATGATAGCCTTGGTTTGGTCATTTTAGCTTCTAGGGCGAGTTCAGACTTCATTTGATTTACAACATACTTGTTTTTTTGTGGTCAATGGTATCTATGAAACTCTTCTCCAACACCACATGTCAAATGAATCAACTTTCTTCTTGTCAGCTTTCTTCATTGTCCACCTTGCACACCCATACAAAGTAATTGGTTATGTTATAGTATGAATTATCTTGATCTTGGTCGCCAGACACACATCCTTACACTTATGGATCTTTTCTAGCTTCATGACTGACCTTCCCAATCTCAATCTCCTTCTGATTTCTTGGTTGCAGTCTCTCTTTTGGTTGATGATGGAGACATGGAACAGAAAATCTTTAATAAATTCTGTGTTTTCATTGCCAGCCTTAAAGTTGTGTAATTCCTCAGTAGTCATTAGTTTTGTCTTCTTGATGTTCAGCTGTAATCCTGCTTTGGCACTTTCTGCTTTAACCTTCAATGGTAGTAACTTCAGGTCTTCACTACTTTCTTCAAGTAATATTATGTGTGTGTGTGTGTACGTACACATTATATATTGATTCTGGAATGCTGGTACAAAAATAGATCAAACTGCTAAGCTAGAAGATGTTTGGAAAACAGGCTGGCACTTAATTAAGGTCCGGGGACCTGATTTCCCCCCAGTGAGAACTGTCAAAAGAACCATCAACCATTTAAGCTATTTTATTAATTTGTTGTTCTCATGTATTCAAAGTCTGTCAAACTTGAATAAATAACATGTTCTACTGTCTCAAGACCACCAGAGAGGGCCAGTGCTTCGCCAATGACATAACATGCAAAGGTCTCTTTTAACACAAAGGGAGGATGCTTATTATCCCTGAGATTTGTCACGAAGGTAAATATTTTTGTCACTTCATTAAAGGAAGATATATGAGACCTCAAGGGTTGTGATATGCCTGTCAGAGAAAAGACAGAGCTACAGTTAATCCTAATAGCAGTATATATTTTCTTTTATGTGGCAGATACAAATGTGCAGATGTTTGCACAATTCTGGTATGAAGGAATGCAGAGAAATCTTTATATCCTTAGTGCCCAAACCAAACTCAATCCCATCATAATTGGGTACAATTTTATCTCTGCGGGTGCAAATCTATATTCAGTCTGAGGCATGTTTGAAATCTGTTTCTATATTTAGTATGAAGATCAGATGATTTGTTAAAACATGCGCTAGGGCAGAAAATTACTTTCTTGTTCCCCAAAAGGGAAATGCTTGCTCTATATGGGGTACTGAATCTCAATGGCTGAGTATACAGCCTGAGTCTGGGGCAGGGCCAGTTCCAGGTTTTGATGGGCTCTGGGTAGACCCACACCCTTGACCACCCCTAGAAGCCCTGCTCACTGTCTGCACACTCTCCCCTTGCAGTGCTGGGCACCCCAGGTAGATAGGAGCACAGGAGATGGAGCACTTGCAAGCAGGTGGGTGAGGGAAGGGTGCGCAGACAGATGGTAGTGGGGGTTTATGGGCAGGGGCCAGTGACAGTGGGCCCTGCAGAAGCTTTGGCCCCTGCAGATGCCCCACTTCAAGGTATCCTGATGTGTGACAGTCAGGCATAAGCAGGGGGTTCACTCCAATCCCTGCATGCTCTATGCTCTATTTGGACTGAGAAAACAGTGCACATGGTGAAGGGGCTCTAGCCTTCCTACCCACATCATTTTTCCAACCTGAAATGGACCGGAGGGGGGGGGGGGCTGCTGTTGTTTGACCTGCATGTTCACTGGGAACTGTTTCAGTACAGCAAAACAGAATAAACGGAAGACTGAAGCCCTTTCTCCATACCTGCCATTGGTCCTGAATGAAACTGGGCAAGACACATGCAGGAATTGAGGAGAACTTGCAACTCCCATCTATTACGCAGCGTGGGGATCTCAGTCTTCATAGATAACAAAGCGAAGACCCTCTGCACACAGTTCTCTGGACTGCACCCAGAGCCTGAAGTACTGTGCACAGTTATCTGTTCTTACATCTACAGTGCAAATTTAAACATTATACCTTTCTAGGTCCATTAAAGTCAAGGAAAAAATGAGACCATCTACTGCTATACATACTGAACAGGTGAAAATTGGCCTAAAAGGGAATCTGAGATAATGACTATTGTTGTTAGGCTAACCAAATTCACTGAAGATAGGCATCACTAGCCAAAGTGTTCCAAAGAATACAACTAATATATTAACAGAGTTTGTGTAAACATGCAATCAATCAGTAGCTAATCACTGGGCTGTCGACCTGGGAACCAGAAATGGCTTAGGATTCTGTCAGAGAGGGAGGGAAAAGTGTTTCTGCATTTTTTTTCCTTCTGTCAGTGCATCCAAAACCACACTAATAGTTCTGACACTGAGGCCCAATCCATATGTTCAAGCAGCTGTGTGGCATTTTCGCCAACTGAAACACAAACAGATGTCAGCAAACACCTGAACTGGCTGGTGATACAACAGTCCCAATCTCTTAATACATTGGTTTCAGTGATGTGAAGACTACCCCTCTGCTCAGATTGCAAACTACAAGCAGGCTTTGTAGGTTCTCACACTTTTGCCTGAGAACTATGATTCAACCCTGTAAACTCTGAGCACGTGCCAAAATGATGAATTCTGTTGACTGATATATGTCATTAACTGTGCCAGGAACAAAAGTGGTACATACACAGCTGATTTCAAATGATCCTTGTTCATAATGACCATGGGACATGTCCCAGATTGTGAGCATATGCAAACAGCAGCTCTCTGGTCAGCGACCATGCTGAATGTCACCGATTATAGAGATACAAATATCCTTGAATTACCATGTGCTTGACATTGCAGACAATTTGTGTGACCCCACATGACTGTTTTACTCATGAGAAAACAGTTATTGTGAGCAAGGTAATTTTAATTTTCAATCAGTTTCTTTGTAAATCATTACTAGTTTATAATAAAAAAATCTGGTAAGGATTAGCTATAATTCAGGTCCTAAGGTTAAAAGAGGTAAGCTACAGAGCAAGGTGAATCCACACCAGAATGGGTGGTCCTCGACCCAAAGGAGGTCCGCTTAGCCTTGACCAGAGCCAGAGCCTTCTTAGCTCTGGCTCCACCTGGTGGAACACTCTCCCAAGTGAGGTCAGGGCCCTGTGAGACTTGTTGCAATCCCGTAGGGCCTGTAATACGGATATGTTCTGCCAAGCCTATGGTTGAGGCAGCGGAGATCCAACTACACTGGGCTCCCCTACCTGGCCTTGCACTATTGCTGCTGCTGTTCTGCCAGTTGCCCAGTATTTGATTTCATCTATGGGCACACATACTGAAGGTTCTTCAGGAACACTTGTTAATTCATGACTGATTGCCCTCTTGTATTATATGTTTTAATACTATGTAGATTATGTTTTAAATGTATTGTATATATCTATGGTTGTGAACCACCCCAAGCCCTGCAGTGCAGGGAAGGGCAGACTATAATAAATATATAAAGAAGAAATTG